TTTTTTAACATGGAATGTAAAACACTTCAGTTTTACTGCGATCAGATATATAATAACAATAATATGTTTTAGGCTCACCCTAAATACGACTTCTCTTACTCCGTGGCTGACCCTCACACCGGTGACCACAAGTCTCAGCATGAGAGCCGCGACGGTGACTCTGTCCATGGCTACTACTCTCTGGTCCAACCTGATGGCTCTGTCCGCAAGGTTGAGTACAAAGCTGATGCACACAACGGGTACGTCAAAACTTTTAGTTAAAACAATGACTTTAGAAAAATATGCAGTTACAACGGAAAATGAAAGTAATTTATTAATTTTATTGCAGTTTCAACGCTGTAGTACACAACTCCGCTCCATCTGTTCACCCACAGTCCTACGGACATGGCTACAGCCATTATTGAGTACTTTTTTTACCAAAGAACTGAAAAACATTGTAATTAAATAAATTATAACTTACCTGATAACTTACCTCCGGTATTTTTATTTTTGTTAAGTGGTTATTAAGAATCACTAGATGGATCAACAGACGTGGCCCATGATCATAAAGTTAATACAAAGCTTTGTCACAATTTTAATAAGGTTTTTAATTTGATGCGACCAAGCAGTTACAGTATTTTGGGAATTCCCTGATTTTTCGAGAAAAAAATTCAGTCTATATAGAAAGTAATAGAGCATTTAATTATAATAGAACCAAGCTTTTTATTAATAAAACATATGAAAACTGGATGTATATTATAAGGGAAAGATAGGGGCCAATGGAAGTAACATGATATTGATTGTAAAATTGGATTGCAAAGTATAAACATTAACTTGAGAAGGTTAGGGTCGCATGCCTGTTACTCAAACTGGCTAAAACCAAGTAGCCAGGGTTCTATATTTATTTGCAAAAAAAATATATACGGACTATACCAACATTTAGAAGAAAAAAATAGCCATATCTGGACCACTCCTAGAAGCCTGTGAACGTTTTGTGAGCATACGAGTATTTCAACAAACAAACACACATAATTCAATGTTGTGATCTACGTTATACATCGCAATTTGCGTAATGTTGATAATAACTTACTTCAATAGGATTAACTGTTTAACAAGTTTGTACTGGCTTTGGCTTTACCGCAGCTACAAAGTTTCATCTCTAGATATATCGGTATTGTAAACAAGTAAAAATAGGTTAGAGTTCTGTAACGGAAGATGGTATTCTAGAAATGTTATGTATAGCTGAATATAATTACTTAACAAATACTTTTTCTGTTGCTGGTACATATTTCTAAACATTATACACTTTCGTATAAATTATTGAACTTTATACTTCTTATTTAGACCAGAAGGAATCTGGATATTCCATCAACGTGTTTGATTTTAAATACTTATAATTACATAAGTATTAAAATTACTTTACTTTTTACTTTAAATACAAGCCTTAGTCTTCATTTCCAAGTCTTCTTTATGTTATCAAAATAATACTATAATATTGTTTATTTTAATATTTTAGAATGCCCTATAAGCACACGAACTTGCGAATATATATCCATATAATTCCTAACATTTAATACTAATCTAAACTTTCAACATCACTTTTCATACTTCCTAAAAAAATTGAGCTAGTAAGGATAAAAAATGTGTAGTTAGTGGGGCAGTAGGGAAATGAAATGAAAAAATATTGCTATTCGCATAGTAATTTATTGACGTTCAAAATTTAAAAACAAATGGGTAGAAAAAACAAATGTTGATAAAGCTTTCCTGAGCTTGATATGATTTACCAAACCCTCCAATGACTTAAAGATACAGATCAAGAGGAGTGAACAATCATGAACTGTTATTTGGATCAAGTTTACAACTTTTATGTGTCCGTGAAAGACAGTTTGATTCGTCTTCAGCCTATCGCAGTCCACTGCTGGACATAGGCCTCTCCCATTACACGCCACTAAGATCGATTTTGGGCTTCTCTCCTCCAGCTTCTGCCAGTCATCTTGCGCAAATCGTCACTCCACCTGGTCTGTGGGCGTCCTACACTACGTTTGCCGAGACGCGGTCTCCCTCGATTTCCCCAACCGTTTTCGGTTCTGCGGTTTTGACTGTTGGACGCTAATTATGTACAATTTGCAATGTTATAAATATATTCTACTTACAACGTTCTACTTTATAACAAACCACTATATCTTTGTAAGATACTGTAAATTGGAGAGTAACAATATTGTTTAGTAATATTATTGCAACGTAATAACACATTTTGTCGAAAATACTCATAGGTGATATAGTACTGTATTCAAGTACTGATCACATGAACCTTATATCACTAAGTGAAACCATAGTCAAAAGAAAATTAGAACATATAAATTTATATAGAAATATGTTCTAAGTTTTTAAGCAAAATTTATAAACAAGCGGATGAAATTATTAAATATTCGGATTAAGTAAAATAACAAAAACAAAAACGAGAAAATTTATTACAGGAAATTTTCGTTTATAAGTAAACTTCTTACACAAACTCGAACTTGAACTACTTAATAGCCGTCATGCTTAACAACTTGCTCACAATCACTTTAACTCTTAACTGCAAATTTAATCGGTCGTAATGGCTAAATTTTCATACAATCTACTATCACCGCTGAATTAATTAACAAGAGCATTTAAAGCAATATTAATTTTAATTGTACTGTAGTCAATTGAGTGCAACACATTTATGTGCACTATGACTTTGAAACTTGTCAAACTCACGGTGTTAAGACACGCACGTACTGTTCCTAATGTAATTGACCTAATGGAACATAAGCCGACCGTGATCTACGAAGCATAATTAACTTTTTCAAAGTATCACCGACTTTAATAAACCTATTAAATAATTAATTATTTTAAACGTGATTTTTCAGTCCTTACTACCTGCACTCTTAGTATACCACCCGGTATTTATCTTCTAATATGAATAGAACAATCAAGGAAGTATTATGACCTTTAAAATAAAAAAAAGGATTTTCTAAATCCAAAGAATTTTCCAAAACGCTTCATAAACAAAACAAAAGTTTTTAGTTTGTTATCGGTAACACTAAAAACTTTTTCTTTTTGAAGTGGTTGAAAAATAAAAAAAATATGCGTATTACCGTTGCATTTACGCGTTGTTTCATACCTACCTAATACATAATTTCGAAAAATATGAATGTTCCATAAATAAAAATTTACCCTTTATATAAAAAAAAAACACTATGAATATAGATATGTAGATATTTAGACTAGTGTCGTTATTGTTGCCAGAGGAAACAATAATATATCTTATTACTGCATTTCTGATTCTTCTCTTTTAGATTGTTTAAAGGAAGTTCACGCTGTGCATCCGTAGACCGTAATCATGAAATCAGCCATGGATCTATTTTGGCAACCTTCATTTGAAGACTATCTAGTGATATTAAATAAGCAAGAATATTATATCCCATATTGAGTAATCATAATACCCTTGGAATTTTATCGTTACATTAAGATAAAATTATCTAAATATTTCCGGTACATTCAAACAAACAAAATGAATATGAAAACACATTATATTAAAATTGTGTTATTTTTTATTCACTAATACGCCTTAGTAAAAATAACATATGTGGCTTGGCCGGTACGTTACCACAAGAACTATTGTGGTATGAAAAGTCATGAACAGTGAAAATTTTTCACCTTACGCCCATGTGACGGCCAAGCCACATATTTTGACTAAAGTGTAGATTTAGTAAAGTTAGGGCTTTTAGAGTTAGGGCGTGTAGAGCTAGAAGCTTAGCTAACTTTTTGACAGTGTAAGTCATATGGTCTCGTCTTGACAACATTTTACATGAAAATGTTTTTGATCGGATTTTTCTTCTATTTGTAGGTTGTTTATGACAATATTTAAATATACAATCAAAGATCAATAATATACAAACCTACTTATTGCAAAGAAAATGATTTATGATTAATAGTATAGAATTTATTAATCCATACTTATATTATAAATATGAAAGTGAGTATCTTTGTCTGTTTGTTAAGCTTTCACACGCATAAATCACTAAATTGATTTGAAAATTCTTTCACGAATAGAAAACTACATTATCAGCCAGTAACATAACGTACTTTTTACCGCATACACAAGTTTAATAAATTTATAACTTTATGTTATATATATGTACGTATATATTGGAAGCAAAAAAAACTTAACACTTAGAAAAGTATTGCAAGTCCGTGCTCTCTAATAATAGGTGTTCCCTGCTCCGCTTCGCTGTAGCACATTAAAGTTGCAGTAATGAGTGATAAGGAACAAAAACGTCCTCCATATCATGTCAAAATTTGAGCTGAATCGGTGCAAAAAAAAATGATTTTTTGAAGCATAAACAAACCAACTTAACATTCTTAAATAAAAACTAGCTGACCCGGCAAACGTTGTTTTGCCATATACATTATTACAAAAAAAAAGACAAAAATAAATAAATTAGGTGTATGAAAAATAGATGTTGGCCGATTCTCAGACCTACCCGATATGCACAAAAAATTTCACGAAAATCGGTCGAGCTGTTTCGGAGGAGTTCAACACCGCACACCGTGACACGAGAATTATATATATTAGAAGATATTGAGAGAGCTTGTGAGAATAAAAACGAACGGTATAATAAAAATAATTTTCTACGTTAAAGTATTTTGTTTTTGAAATATAGTCATTTTGAACGAAGTAAAATATATGTAGAAATTTTCATACTTACTAAAGAGTAAATTAAAATTGCGTTTTATAATAAACAAAGAAAAATGTTTGACTACGTTAATTAAAATAAATAACTGTTTACACACCGTCTAGAACTCAGTCGTTACATTTTATTGTAGTTATTGAAATTCACAAGGTCTTATTACGATGTCATAGTTACTAATGTGTGCGTACGCATTTTGACGCCCCACCGCTGAACCGCAATAACAGACGTGGTCTATAAAAACATACACAAGTGTTTTTAACATCAAGTAACACTTGATCCTTACAAAAACAATATATCAAAATGTTTTCCAAAGTAAGTTAATACAAATAAAAAAAAGGTGTAATGTACCTGAATAGCTTACTATTAAAAGCACGTTTTTAATAACCATAGAAAAGTTGTATTTTAACACATTTGAGAGTATCACTGAGAAACAGAAAAATGTTGTTTTTGATAATGAATTATTTTATCACTCACAAGGAGCAGCATTTGGACGTAATAGAGTATTATGTAAAAATGTATTTTTCTTTCAGATCGTAGCTTTCGGAGCATTCTTGGCCGCTGCCAGCGCCAACTTATATGGTCACGGTCACGGCCATGCCGTGTCATCTCAAAGCATCGTCCGTCACGACCAACCTATACACTACGCTCCACAAGTCTCCCATTACTCTTCTTCCGTAGCACACTATGCCGCTCCCGTCGCCCACTACGCTGCCCCTATTGCCCACTATGCTGCCCCTGTAGCTCAGTACGACGGTCATGACTCATACGTAAGTTTTTCCTCGACACATTTGTCCATTTTTCATTACTTTGTCTATTTTAAACGTTACTAATAGATGTAAAATCGGTTCAGGCTCACCCGAAATACGATTTCTCCTACTCCGTTTCCGACCCTCACACCGGTGACCACAAGTCTCAGCACGAAAGCCGCGACGGTGACTCCGTCCATGGCTACTACTCTCTGGCGCAACCTGATGGCTCTGTCCGCAAGGTCGAGTACAGGGCGGATGCTCACAGCGGGTAAGATAAAATATTTTCTTTAAAGTATGAATGTCATATCATCTCATGTAAATAACTGTAACATTAACTGTTTTGTTTATTCCCAGATTCAATGCCGTTGTACACAACTCCGCTCCCTCAGTACATCCTCAAAGCTACGGACACGGCTACCATTATTGAGCATCCCACACATTAAGCTTAGTCTAAATATTAATTATTAAAAAATACAAAAATAGCAAGATATGAAGGTATTAAATAAAATATAACTTGATATGAAAGATAACCTGTTTCATTATTCTTAGGGTGTACGGCAGGGTTCCGCCGAGTTGAACGAATGATAAACAACATACACACACAAACAAATACACACATTTTTATAAACCATTTAGCAAATATTCCACCCTTCGTAATTTCGTGGTGAATGAAACCGTAATTTGAAGTGTCTATAAATCCTTTTAAAAAATAAATAAATCGACTTAAACAAGACTAACACTGAAAATTAAAAAATGATTACAAATCTAAGTAAAAAACTAAAATAAGTACCCTCATTACAACAGGTAACATTACGAGTATAATAGCAATAGCCCCAATCTAGTCTGTTTGAAGTCGGTGCCAAGCCCAATGCACAATAAGTAGGTAATACTGGTCTATATCAGATTAATATTAGCACAATAAAAAATTAAGAATTCAATATCATTTAATATTCAAAAAAGAAAATGAGTGTTTCTTTTACATTACAGCATTTTAAGTAAAACAGATTTCAGCAAAATATTGACGCAACATAAGATACACGTTAACACGGATTGAAATAAAACTTATTACAAACGAAATATCATTCAAATTAATTCTCCACCTTGAGAATGAGTAGAGAAATAATTTATTTTTATTTTACACTTTATCCATAAATGTAACAAAGACGAACTTAATGCCGTAGGCATTTTCTCCCAGTCAACCTTAGGGTGATACAGAGCAAAAATATAGTAGATGCACATAAGAAATTAAAAATGTGATTTTATGAAAAATATAGCATATATAGGATATCATATACCCAGAGTTCTTGTATTTATTACATTAGAATATTTTTTAATAAATAATACATACACAATAAGTAATAATGGTACTAACACACAAAATACATAAGTATTTATATATATGCACCTACAAATACATATAATTATATTATATATACAGTGTCCCAGATAGAATGGATAATCCTGGAGCGCTTAATAGTACAGCTATCTGGCGTACAAAAAAAAATACTCAAAAAAAAAACCAATTGGTGCCCAAATTATGGTTTTTAAAAAAAAAACCTTTTTGTTGTCCCTACTGTACTTACATGTACACAACGGCCGGCGTTTTTTGTGTTATCTTATTCCTCACAGACAATCTTGTTAAAAATGCAGTAAATAGTATGAGTAACTATTGTATTTTTTGGAAAAAAAATATCAACTTAAATTTTTAACATGAAATTTGATCAAAAAAAAATTATGACGATGACGATGAGTTTTTTTTTTTTTTAAACTTCATAATTTGGGCACCAATTGTTTTTTTTTTTGGGTATTTTATTTTGTACGCCAGATAGCTGTACTATTAAGCGCTCCAGGATTATCCAATTTTTTTGGGACACCCTGTATATATACATACCTACACATACATACATATTTATATATATATATATATATCCACACAATAAATTCTAGAAGAGAGAGTAAAAAAATTAAGAAGGATTTGATAAAGAGTTTAATAAATGCTTCTGCAACAGGTAAATAAAGGTTTGCCGAGTTTTTGCCATCCTGATCTCGAGAGAGAGCGCGTTCTATAACAGAACAGATTGTACCAAGAAAGTAGAATATCCTAAGTCAGAGCGGTGAGTGTTAAAGTGAAGAAAATCTAAGCGTTTTAGCGTGGTTTGCACCTAAATATTGAATTTGACTAGTTAAGTAAGAAGAAGAACTTGGAGAAAAGAGGAAAGAATATAGGGTAGTTAATGCCCGTGTCTCTCTGCGTTGGCGAAATGGAAGCCACTCCAAAAGGGAGCGATGCTGAGACACGTGCTCATATTTACGTACATGGAAATCGAAAAGTATGCAATTATTGAGAAGCCAGTCAAACTTATTGATTAGATCGGCATTCAGGTCAAAGTAGGACACATCACCATAGTCGATTATAGGGAATTAGTTTTTACTGGCAGAAAGTACTCAAGCCTATAAAGGGGTCGCAACGAGCCTGTGACTTTCTGGCACACAGATGCATCTTGTTTCCGCCAGCTAAAAGTCGTGTCAATATATGGTCCGAGATCTTTCACGCTTTCACAGTATGGAATAACCATACCATTGTAGAAAAGAGGTGGAAGTGTAGCAAGGTAGAGCTAACTCATACCACAACTACGATGATAATGGCTTGACATTTGTTCGGATTCACCGATACGCCAAACATATCGGACCAATGTTTAATGGCCCCTAGGTCACTGTTTAAAACCGAAACCGAGGACGATACATTACACAACTCTGTTACTCTCTCTCTCACTGCAAGTCATCAGCGTAGAGATGATAGGAACACTGAAGTCTAAGGGTGGTAATAATTTTATAGAAATAATAATATTACATGCCGCTGCCTACTTCCTATACAAAAGTACAAACGTGAAAAAGTTTTCAAAATTCAGAAGTAAATTACAGCCTGTGTCGGATAACTGAAGTAATTGCCTGTAATCATGCCTTGCCTGCCTTCAAATCACCTATAAGTGAATTTTCTCTACATTGAATCTTTCTTAACTGCCAGTCAATGGGCTGAGTTTATCTCAACAATAAATCAATAATAACGAATATCTGATACAATTAGAAATATTAACCATTTTTTTATATATCTACCAAAGTAAACTTCTAAATACCACAATGGAAAGATTTTCTTTTTAACACTGCTTTGCCACATTTAGACTGTATTTATTTAAATCCAACTTCTCAAAGTACAATATCAATACAAGGTTTAATAACACTTCTATCAAGAAATTTTATTTCAAAACTGACAATATTTATTAAATTTGTATGTATTACCCTAAAAACCTGGCACTAACACAATCTAAGCTAAAACAATCAACAGCAATACGTTACCAAATATATATTTTACACTATTGCACTTTTACAACATAAAGGTAATCTATGTCCCTATATTTACCACTTTCTTTTCTACATAGCTACAGAAGCTATGAAAAGTGATTATTTTGAACACATATCACAATTTCATTGTAGAAATCAGTTTAGTAATTTAAATGTCACCATAAGCTTACTACTAATCATATAATGAAACAATTAATAAATAAAACTATTCCAGAAAAAAAATACATCAAAATAACAACAAAAACAAAATTCAAATATATCAAATACTCTCTAGATATCCTCAAAACATGTACAAGAAATTAGAACTACGTGTTCAGTGTGCTCTAAACTGGTGAGAGTACTCTACAGCAAACCTCTTCACTCCACATTGCAGCTATGCACCTCGTTACACTTTAGTCACTAAAACTCACAAGGTTAAATTTTGATGTCAGTGTTAATTCAAAATGTTCACGCAAACATTTAGCCGCCCCACTGCTAACCGCGTTCTATAAAAAGATACCACTAATTTTATTGACAACAATCAACACCCGATTCTAATAAAGAATACATCAACATGTTCTCCAAAGTAAGTGTTTATACAAATATATTATAAAAAAACGCTGAATATATAAGAAATAATAATAAACGCTGAATATATGTAGCCAATTAAACTATTAAATAAGGATTCTTATGTTTTTAATGTCTTGAATTATTATAATATTACTTATGTTTTTAATTTTACCATCTAGTGTAACATTTAAGACTCTAAAGCGTCAAATTTTACAATATGACATGTCAGTACTTCTGACGATCTTCTATATCGTATTATACTAATACGAAGTATGTAAATTAACTAATTTATTTTTCTAGATCGTAACTTTCTGTGCTCTCGTGGCCGCTGCCAGCGCCAGCCTATATGGTCACGGTCATGGTCATGCCGTGTCTTCTCAAAGCATCGTCCGTCACGACCAACCTATACACTACGCACCACAAGTCTCCCATTACGCTTCTTCCGTAGCCCACTATGCCGCTCCCGTTGCGCACTATGCGGCTCCCATAGCTCATTACGCTGCCCCTGCAGCTCACTACGAAGGTCATGACTCATACGTAAGTTTTCCATAACTGACTTACTACAAAAACATACAGTTTTTTAGATTTAAGACGTTCTATATCGATGTGTCATCATTGCAGGCCCACCCGAAATACGATTTCGCCTACTCCGTATCTGACCCTCATACCGGTGACCACAAGTCTCAGCACGAGAGCCGCGACGGTGACTCTGTCCATGGTTACTACTCTCTGGCTCAACCTGATGGCTCTGTCCGCAAGGTCGAGTACAAGGCAGATGCTCACAGCGGGTAAGCTGAAATCTTTTCTTCAAAGTATGAATGTAATATCATCTCTTGTAAATAATTGTTACATTCTGTTTTGTTTATTTCCAGATTCAACGCCGTGGTACACAACTCGGCCCCCTCAGTGCATCCTCAGAGTTACGGTCATGGTTACCATTATTAAGCACCACTCACATAACCATTTAAGTGTAAATATTAAGTATCAAGATTACAAAACAATATATGATAATATTAAACCAATTTCAAAGATAAGTTTACCTGTTTTATTAATCTACATAAAGTACGGCAGTGTCTACATAAATATTTGTAACATCTCTTTTCCAGACTATTCTGGATATATTCCTACTCCTGTAACTTCTTGTTTATAAAGTTAGAAGACTGAATTTCAAGTGACCTGAAGGACACAATATGACCAGGCATATTCCCAAATGATGATATTAACTGACGTAATCACTTTTCAATCATCAAAATTCTTAAGTTTTTAAATAAATTAAATTATACCAATAAGATTATGTTGTCATGATATGATAAAGTTGTTCCTCACTCATTTATTAAAATTTCATATACATGTTGTTGGTGGACTTAAGTAATGCCTATGGCGTTTTCCGCCAGTCTTTGAATGATGTAGAAAAAAAATTAAGTTTGAGTGCGAAAACACAATTAAACGAGTTAAGAGGGAAAGATAAAATAAAGTGTGTCTTAGTAAGTGCAATTTTTAAACTTAGAATGTTTGTGC